AAAAAAAAAAAAAAAAAAAAAAGACAATGCAACTTGAATTTAACTCAGTTCAGTGACTTGAAGACAATCATTGGCATTGTGTGTAAATCAACTATCCAACTTAAAATCAAGGCTATTTTCATACTTTAATCTGAATCCTCAGCAATTTTATCTTTCAATACACATGCACTCTAATTAAGAAAAAAAAAGTGCTACACCTGAAAAAAAGTGCTGTTTTTCCTCAAGAAACACGTATGGGAACAGGGCTTCCCTGGTAAATGAAAACTGTGGCATTAATAGATAAATCAGGCTATAGATGGAGTACAGAGAAACTGGATTGGCAGAACAGGATGGAGAGCTCAGACTTCTCTCTCCCAATACACTGAAATTCTACAAACCGGCAATTCCCAAAAGAGAAATATTTTGTCAGTTTTTAATGACCAGCTCTAAAAAAAACAACCCACAACTCTCTCTCCCCCTTCTCCAGCACACTCAAGTGTTTTACAATATACCATGATACTGTTTTGTGTCCTCCATATGCAATACAGGAAGCTATTAATTTTTAAGTAAGAATTAAATTTTTATGAAAATAACCAAACTAATTCCCTAGAAAAATACATGCCAACAATCATCAATGTTTTGAAGCTGTGCTTCAATGCATGTGCTTAAGTCATTAAAATAAGTACAGCTTAATACAATGGAACTGCAAGATCCAGAATACAACAATAATACATTAAATACATGCATCTCGGTCAGCTTCTAAGCTCTGGGTGAGATAAGGAAAGATAGCATAATATATTCATAACAACTTACATTCTTACATTTGAGGGACAGACATCAGTTACAATACAATATATACAATGCTTTAGACATCTTCTAATTGAATTAATATATTCACAAACCTATTGTCACTCAGATTGATGACTTTTAATTTCTGCATATCACCCATTTCTTCAGGGAGAAATTCAAGCTTATTAGAATGCAGAAACAACACTGTTAAATGCTTCCAGTTTCCAATCTGAAAAAAACCCAAGAATTAAATTCATCTTCACAACTCTAAATACACAAATTTTTACTGTTTCAAAACAATTAGTATTACAGCTATTTTGGCTTGTAAAGTACAATTAGATTTATTCTTACATATTAAACCTTCTTTTAGTTTCAATATAATAGCAACAAATTTCTACTTCTTGCTTAAAAAATTCAGAATTTCATTATTTTAAAGTTTGCATATTTGTATACACCTGCCTTTAAAAACATAAACACAGAAAATCTACTCAAGAATTATTAACTTATCCAAAAGTTGTACAGACTATATAGTTTAAGATACATAAAATTTTTAGTTTTGTAACTAAATACATACCTCTGATGGCAGCTGTGTTAAAAAGTTATGATCTGCAGCAAATGTCCTTATGTTAGAGAGTTGCCCAACAGACGAAGGCAACGTTTCAATCTCATTGAAACTACAGTCCAGTTCTTCTACTGATAGTAACCTGAAAAAGAAAAAAGAATTACTCCTCTATACAGGTTAATTCATCCAACATTAATTGAATACTTTGTTTAAATGAAGTTAATACCACTATCAATTACAAATCTCAAATTCAATTAAAAATAAAATTCTGAAAGCTAAGGGAATTAAAATCCAAGAGAAATCCTTTACTAATTGCCTAAATTGTGTTTGGGTTTTTTTTTTTGTTTGTTGGTAGATGGATTGCTTTTTGTTTTTTAAAATCTCCTTTACACTGTCCTCATAAGAGAGCTTTCAGTAAAAACAGGGGGGTAAACATCAACATCAAATGTTTGTGTACTATGTGAAAACCTGCTATTGCAAGGCACTTAAAACATTCAGAGTGGGACAGATCATAGCCATAGGAGTTGAGTGTAGTTTCTGAACAAGAAAAGAATTTAAAGAGTTAGAGACAGTGAACTGAAGACTTTGGCAGCAAAGTAGCATTTTGTAAATTCTGACAACAAAACATAACCTACATTAATTATAATAGGAGAACATAAATTGGAACAAATACCCTTCATTTGTATAGCACTTAATTCCAAACCAATTATTTTTGCTGTCATTTGCGAATTTTTAATTAAATTGCTGAACACCAAATTATACATTAAAAAGTCCTGCTGATTAACAGGTGAAAATTCTCCTTATAATATAAAAAAGATAAATGTGTGCATGTGTATGTGTTCAGATTCACTTTTTACAAGCTTTTTGATACTGGTTCAAATCATTGGCAGTATTTACCACAGCTATGTTACTGCCAAAAAAAACACTTTCAGGCAGCTGACTGCCTTTTTAAACATCTTGTTTTCTTTCACATTCAATTTTTCTTTTATAAATTGGTGGCTGCATTAATGAGTGAGGAACATAGGTCTTTTGATATTAAACAATACATAAAGAACATATATGCTGTGAACTAGAAGTAAGATATGAAAGCACTTACTTTCAATTTTAAGACATTAATACATAGAAAAAATTAAATCAAGTAGGTGTAAAAGCATTCAAAAGAGGAGCCACTGTTACAGAAAAGCGTGCAGAAAGGCAATGCAACCTTTTATTCAGGTGAAATACCTACCCTCCTATGGAGTCTGGCAAATAAATTAATTGGTTTTCATCAATTTTAAGTGTTGTTACCTTCTTCAGGGAACCTGTAAGTAAAATGAACAAGTAAATCAAAAAGGACATTTGAGTTTATTAAATTTAGTTTTAATTTTAAATTAAGGGGAAAAAAAAAAACAACCCATGGGCAAGCAACCACATCTTCTGTATTCCCTTAGCATGCTTATGGTGCTATATATCTACTAAGGAAATAAGCAGACAAGCTTACAGAACTTGTTTGCCAGCTTACCATGTGCCAGCCATGGTGGGGGCAGGGAGGGGAGGAGAAGAGAAAAACAAACCTTTTGTTA